TGGGTTGCCATGGGCTACCGTGTTTAGTCAGCAGCCAGCGTGAGCGGCCAGCAGCCAGCGTGAGCGGCCAGCAGCCACCGTGAGCGGCCGTCCAGAAGTCAGCAACTGATCTGCCTCGCCCGGGAAGAGCGCAATCATGGTGCCAACTTGGGCCAGTGAAGCAAGGTCCTCCACAACTAGACTGAAGAACAAAAGCATAGCAATTTGTCTGTTCCCCTTCCCCCAATTCCCCAATAAAAATCTTTAAAAAAATAAATAAATAAAGACACCAGTCAAATTGGATTAGGACCCACCCTCATAACCTCACTGCACTTGATTGCATATGCAAACTCTTATTTTCAAGTGTGGTCACACTGACAGGTACTGGGGGGTTAGGACTTGAACATAACTTTTGGGGGGAACACAATTCAACCCATAACAGAAACGTCAAGTTTGTTTTTAAGTTTGAGATTCCTTAGGCATCCATGTTGAGAAGTGGTTGGATATACAACTCTGGAGTTCAAATGTGAACTTCAAGTTAAAAATGTTTGGGGTTGTCAACTCTGGCACCTACTTATTTACAGAATAAGCCTGGGAAAGCTATAAAGCAATTATAATTTCCTTCTCCATAAGACTGTAAAATACAATCCTGACCTGTAAGGGGCTGTTGTGAGAGTAATGGGACAATGACTGTGAAAGCCCTATAACATGATTCAAACACCAGTGAATGAATCAAAGCCCTTCATATGGGAGCTAGCTCTCCACTCAGCTGTATGTATTTGGAGCAAGTATTTTCAGAATATGCATTACTGTATCACTGGTTTGTATTTAAAGCTAAATGTCAGCTTGCTTTAGAGCAGTGACTGTACACAAATAATGATGAATTATTTGGTGGAGATCCCTAAAAATAAACAAAATAGAATCCTAGGGTGGTTGTTGACTTCAGAGCTTTTAAAGCCGGAAGGGTGACCTCACCACTAAGCTCAAGGCAACCAGCAAGTGCACTGCTCAAGTAGAAGTTCTGCATTATTCCCAGGGAAAGTAAGACAGTCCTTTCAATTACTAAAAATATACAAGGCCGGACAATGAAGTTTGCGAGCTCATCCTAGAAAAAGTGCTACATACCTCACTGCTGAATATCACTATGGTCACCTTCGAAGTACTCCCCTTGGGAAGCTATGCACAGACCCCAGGGCCTAGTCCACCCTTCAAAGCAATTTTGGAATTCTTTTTCTAGAATGGCCATCAGAGCTGTCATCGTATTACCCTTGATGTCCTGAATGTCATCAAAATGTCTCCCTTTCAATATTCCCTTTATCGTCTGGTAAAGAAAGAAGTCATTGGGGGCCAGATCATGTGAGTAGGGAGGCTGTTCCAATTCCAAAACAGTTATTTGTTTCCTGGCTAAAAACTCCCTCACAGACAGTGCCGTGTGAGCTGGTGCATTGTCATAATGCAAGAGCCATGAATTGTTGGCGAAAAGTTCAGGTCGTCTCATTTTTTCCCACAGCCTTTTCAGCACTTCCAAATAGTCAACTTGGTTCACTGTTTGTCCAGTTGGTACAAATTCATAATGAATAATCCCTCTGATATAAAAAAAATTTTAGTAACGAGTTCGCAAATTTAATTGCCAGACCTCGTATATTGAGAACATATTTCAGGTTAGGTATTGTAATAAGACATGGGACTATGAAGATGTCCATAAGGAGGGAGATCTACAAATAAACATGCAAGTAAGATATAAAAAGCCAATTTCAGAGATAAGCATAGGATGCTACGGAAGTACAAGGAAAGGCGAACCTGGTCGTGGAGGGGAGGGGTGTTAGAAAGCTTCTTGGTGGAAGTGCTACAGAAGAGATCTGCAGGATGAATTCAAGCCCATCAGGAAAATAAGGAGAAAGTCATTCCAGGCAGAGGGACCCATTTGTGAAAAGGCCCAACAGAGAAAGAGATGCTGTGTTCAGGAAACAAAGTGATTCGGTTGGCTATGACTTGGAATATGAGATGGTGAGGAATGTAAGGATGATGTTAAGCTCTTTGCAGGGTCCCATTATGAAGGCCCTTCTGTGTCATACTAAGGAGTTTGGGCTTTGTCCTACGAGGCTTAAAGCCACTCTAAACCAAATCGCACCCTCCCAGCTATCATAAATTCTCTTTCTTCACCTACAAAATTTCCCCAGCTCTCCTGGAAGAGCTTGTCCAAATATCTTGGCTGTACTACCTAGTCTGAGAATTTCTGTGCTTTATTTTAGAAACATAACAGCAGTTCATCCTCAGGCAACGAGAGGTCCTATTTTTAAGTCCACCTTCCTTCCTCTTTCTACTATCTGACTCCCATAACCCCATGATAGGCTGCCAGGTGCCCCCTGAAATAGTATTCTTTTTTTTTTTCTAAGATTTTATTGGAGAATTGGGGGAAGGGGAACAGACAAGTTGCTGTCCTTTTGTTCTTCAGTCTAGTTGTGGAGGACGTTGCTTCACTGGCCCAAGTTGGCACCATCATTACGCTCTTCCCAGGCGAGGCAGATGGGTCGCCGGCCTCTGGATGGCCGCTCACGCTGGCTGCTGGCCACATACGGTAGCCCATGGCAACCCACTGCAGCAGGGGCTGCAGCCTATGCTGTCGCCGGCGACTCACGGCAGCCCAGGTCCAGGTTGAGCTGTTGTTCAGCATCTTAGCTGTAGAGGGCAGTGTCACTGGCCCTCATATGTGGGATCCGAACCGGGGCCCTCTGGCGTCCCAAATCAGCTCTTAACCATCGCGCCACTCGGCCGGCCCTGAAATGGTATTCTAACATGACCATCCTACCTAGCTCACAATGATCCCTTTTATTTCTGAAATGAAGAATTGCCAGA